GTACGACGAAAATCGGATGCAGTGTGAATCCAGCGTATGATTTGTTCGTGTCGTAAGCTCCAAAACATGTTCCAACATGCTCCTACTCGCTCTGTGTGCCTTCCAACTAGAGGCCTAGATAACAGAAAAGCGACAAGTGCGATCGATAATCGAAATTCACGATTATCGCCGCCATTTTCTTTCACCATGGGATAGGCGAACTGTCAAGATGTCAAAGTAAGGTTAGCTTCTGAAGAAATATATATGTATCAGTAAACAACTATGTATTTGGTACAGTACAATTTACAAAACATAGGCTACGTTTACACCGTGCACTTAGTCCACGACCTATACGATAGATGTCTTTGTTTAACTTACAGGATAAACAAAGACCTATCGTCCTACCTATCGTATAAGTCATGGACTAAGCGCACGGTGTAAACGTAGCCAATGACAAAAGTGAGCAAATTTACTAGGTGTTGACCAATGAAATTATCAGTATTCTAATAAATTTGCTCACTTTTGTAATTTTCACCTCGTTTCAAGAGAGTCGATTGTGTATCTCGAAATGAGATGAAAATTATAAAAGCGAGCAAATTACTAGAATATTCATAATTTAATTGGTCAATATGTAGTGAATTTGCTTACTTTTGTAATTTTCACCTCATTTCAAGATACAGAATCGATCCTAAGGCTTCATGTCACCTAACCTGACCTGGGGGTCGATTATGTATCTCGAAATGAGGTGAAAATTACAAAAGTGAGCAAATTCACTAGTTATTGACCAATTAAATTATGAGTATTCTAGTAAATTTACTCACTTTTGTAATTTTCACATTATTTCGAGATACATAATCGACCCCCTGTTCTGAGGCAGATCGGTATAAATAAGAATGTATCAAATATTTAATCCGCATCAATTTGATACGCGTATCAACGCGTACTAACCGATTTAACGGTCTCATTAAGTCTGTTAGCGTTGCATGAAATCCCCAAATATTTTTGCACTTAAAATGGGATAGATATATATTTGGTCTTGAAAAGAGAGGAAGCGAAGATGCCGAGTGCCAAAAATGCAAGCAACACGAACAGACCTTATGATGTTCTTGTTCACTCGCACCCATAAACAATAGGTCTGTTCGCATTGCATGAAATCCCTAAATATTTTTGCACTTAAAGTGAGATAGATATATATTTGGCCTTGAAAAGAGAGAAAGCGAAGATGCCGAGTACCAAAAGTGCAAGCAACGCGAACAGACCTAGACTGTGTTCCAAATTTACTGCCAACATTGAAAATGCAACAGTTTACGTCACGTGCAGTATAGATTTTCAGTACAGGCATTCAATTTTGGAACATAGCCCTAAGCTGGATAATGACATCACTGGTCGTCATAAAACTGTTGAGTCTGCTGAGATAGGACCATTCTTCTAGATCTAAAAGTATGATCCAATTAGCGCGAAGGAAACTTACAACAGTTGCAAAACAAACGTTCTGCTGAACGCACCCATTGATTGTTGGCAAGTTGAAATTTAAAGCTGTTAAATTCTTAAATTGGCTCTGATATTAGAAAACTAAATGTCTTCCAACGAAACCGCAAAGAGGCCCTCGAGGCAATTGTACGCAATAAGGACATGCGTGCGAATGTCCGAACAACCTCAGACAGACGTCAACATTTTTTTTATAATAGTGGGAATGTTAGGATTACTTGTTGTGGCCGTTCTAGCTGTTTTACATCTTTTTCATTAATATTAAAGATGTAAAATATGCCGATGAAAAGAAGGAAGCTTGAAATTATGATCAAACTGTGATGTTGACTGTTGATGCTTGCAAGAGAGATTTGATGTTTAATGCTTGCGTAAATTCTTATTGCATCAATGTCTATATAAAGGGAATATAATTTATTATGTGTATACATATATATAATTGATGTATTCACGACACAGTGTGATATTAAACTGTGATACAGATTAAACGCAGCTTTTTTAGGTAATAATTTATGAATCTGTTTACATATAAGAATAATTTTTTCTAACAAATTATTTCTACATTATTTTTCTATAATATTAACAGATCTGCTTTAAGAGAGAGAGAGAGAGAGAGAAAGAGAGAGGAGTTTGAGGTCCTAGGTTATATTGTGATTATTGTTGAATTCAAATTTATCAAAATGACGTCGATACTTTGTATGCGTACTGGCTTTGCAGTAAGCCGAACATTTTTTTTATCCAATATTCTCGGGAGAAATTACGTAACATACATTCAAGGCCAATCCCCTCAACCTCGTGTGCGAGAGTACTTCTATTATATTGATCATCAAGGCATGGTATTTTTCATTTCATCTATTGAAGCTTCAATTTTTATCACTGGTGAAACATTTTCTCAGATTTTTTTCATATAACTTTTCAGAATTTTAAAGTGAATTTCCACATTTTTCAGAATTTCTGAATATTTTTAACTTTTAAAATCTCAAATTTTTTTTTTATACAAATTGGAACACTTTCAGAAGTGCCGAGAAAGTCTACATCTTTTCTAGAATTCTTTATAAATTCTAAAATATTTTGAGATTTTTTATTCTGTAATTTTTGAAATCTTATAAAATCTAAAAAGGTATTTAAGATATTTTTCTCAGAAATTACAGAATGAGAAATCTTAGATTTCAGAATTCACATATTGAAAAAAATTTCTTTAAAGCGTTCACATTTGCATGAAAATTCTGGGAAAAATTTTTACTAGAGGGTAATAAATGAACGAGCATCTCATGAATAACTTTATATCTGTCACAGTTGTTCCTGGATGACGTCCGCATTAGGAATTTCACCTCCTGCTTCAAAGGTAGGCATCAATGTTCACATCAATTGAAAAGCATCTTTTTTATGCATATTGCAAACTGTTGCAGACAAAAAATTCCTGGCGTTCTTCTTCAAGCGCCTAAGGAAAAATGACACTGAACGTTACACAGACGACTTTCCATTCTTGTCAATTTGTGGCATAGAGAGAAATTATGTGAGATGTGACGATTTGCCATTAGTCTTCACGAAGGTGATTCAAAAGCATAACATGGAAACTGGTACAGAAGAGGACTGGTTCAGTTATGCGCACGCAGATGACTTATTGACGGTAATTCTGCAGAATCAACTATATATAGCTATATATCAGTTGTTTCATCTTTGGATAAACTATGTGATAATTTAAATGATAATTTATGAAATATGGATAAAAAAAGAATAAGAGAGTAAGCTAAAGTTTATCGAAAAGTGGAACAATTCAGCCATAGTAAAATTACAATTTTAACCGAGTTTTATAATATAATAACCATCAATTTGTCACAGGTGCCGTTTGAGCCGCAAAGATTATTTATGAACATTAAAACAGGAAGAGTGTATCATCCTGCACCAGAGAAAGCGGGCGAAATCGGTTTAGTGAGATCCAATCTAGCTATTGAATTCAGTGCTTCATTCAACTTTGAAAACGGCGAGGGAAACGCACCAACACATTTTATGTGGAGAGACAAGCGATACCAACTCGATACGAAATGGTACAGAGACAAACTATCATAAATAGTTAAATAAAAACAACGAAACTTTTTATAATTCGTAAATACAATGTGTAACTATAAAAAAGGAATTTTTCAATGACTTGAGCGTAAACTTCAAGGCTTATTCAGATTAATGGTCACATCAACCGTCTATCAAAAAAGTTATTAATAAAGAATTTACAAACCAGCGTTGCCTATCGCGAAATAATCTGAATAAGATTAAGAATTCTACAAAAAAATTATATATACATTTAGTATAAATGCTGGGAAAAAATGAAACCCCTGCATTTCTACCCGAAAATATTCTATTTTAATCAAATATAATTCTAATTTGAAATTGGGAAATCCCGTTCATTTACTTTGTATTTGATAATTCGTTCAGTCTTGATTTCAATAATATATTTAAAGTTCTCCTTTTTTATAGTTTTATTTAAAAAAGTATATATTTTTTATAAATCACACTTGTGTAAATATACATAAATTTATATGCTTATATATATATATATATATATATACGTCTATATACATATTTTAATATTCTATCTCCTATCACATTAATGTATAGACGAAATATCAAAAAGCCTGGCAGTACCATCGTCGGAAACTGTTAATGCTTTCTTCTCATCACTGAAAAGTTACGAAATATTAAATACCATAGAAGAGATCAAATGTATTTCATAAACAAGAAATTTCAGAGGCTTATCTCTGATAAGGCCAGATTTTCAAAATGTCATAAAAATTAAAGTAATTTTAATCGCTCGAAAATATTGCGATACAAAACTATAAACATTCATCTAAAATTAAAATTTACGATTAATTCGAGTTATTTTTTTATATACGTTTTAATAGCTGTCCAAATTTAAGTAAGGAAAGTTTACTTCGTACAAGTATAATCAGAACTAATATCAAAATTGAGCTACTCGCAGAATCTCTTTCCGATATTAATAATTTTGTTTTATTTTGTTCTCGCGCAATTAACACAAATTTGCTTGTTAATAGTTTACCTGGATATGCATACGTCATATAAGGCCCCTTTGTGTCCAGAGAATACTCGAAGGCAGTTACCTACTTTTGCATCGAAACATCTTAATTTACCATCTAATCCCGCTGTAAAAAATATCGATGCCATAGTCCAAACTAATTTTGAGACACCTCCTTCTTGATCCAGTTCGTGCCTAAGACTCTGGAGAGGATTGAAATTTAGAACTTGTTAATGTTCAAAAAGAAACTTGAGATATAAATATAAATAATACTTGTTTAAAAATATCCCATATGTAAATTTTTCCGTATGTTTCACTCGTGACTGTTGCACTTGCAGCAGCAGGGAATGTAGGATCTTTACAAAAAGCTGCAACCTCTACATGATCGTCGTTATTGCCACGTCTATTCAAATCTTGAAGTACACAAATTACCTGAAAAATATTTTAGTATCAAGTTACTCTTAAGCTACAAATAGAGATGCCGCGTGGATCAGTACGAGAGCAACAAACTCATAATTAGCAGACTCGATCTCCCATCTACAGATTATAATTTCGTATAAGTTATTATTCGGCAAAGTAGATGGAGGCTGATTTTATCTCATAATAAACTCAATTATTGAAAATAAGCCTGAAAAGGAGCTTCTGTAGGTCTGATTTGAGTTGCAGTTCATCGGTTTAAGCTAGAAATCAGCAATCAACAAAAATCTTAAATAACAAAGTTATTTTAATCTTTATATGGATAACATAAAAACCAATAATTTTATCAAAAATCCTCTCTTTTCAAGCACAAGAAATGCAGCAAAAAAATATGAATATAATAATACTACTCTTCCTATTAAAGAAAATATTAAGAAAATAAAGAGTTTCTTATACCTTGCCATTATGTACTGTGCTTAGTATAGTCTGGCTTTCCACTGACACCGAAATCAATAGATTATTATCCATGTAACAATCAAGAGCAATAATAGTGCTTGAATGTCCATATAATCGTGTCTGATCAGGGGGGGTAGTAGATACCAGAGTGTTCGATTTTAAATCTATTACATGAATCATACCATTTTCATATCCTATCGCGGCGCGTTTTCCTGCAAAATTTAAATTAATGTTTTGTTCTCTCTTGAGTAAATCTAAGCGTATACTCTTATCACGTACCATCTGGAAGAATTATACCAGTCTCTGATTTAATACCGCTACCCTGTGCAAAGATCTTGCAATCATCCTTTCGTGTTTTCAACATATAAACTTCCCCTGTTTCAACACCTGCTATTAAGATGTCACTGAAAGGGTGCCACTTTATCCACTAGATAATAAAAAAAGATTATTAATAAATTGTTGTAGATGCTTATGTTTAAAGGAACAATAGATTTATTCCTTAAAGTTGAACTTTTTGTACTTCTTATTTTTTTTACTTTTTCTTTTAAATTATTGCTTTTCTTGAAATACATAATTGAAAAGTACAGGCAATAAAAATAGGAAATAACAGATTTCAACTTATCAGAAATCATGTATACTAAAACACACAATTTCTGATTACAATCTGTTATTCCCTGTTCCTATTGCCTGTGCTCTTCAGTTGATCAAATCATAATTAAATTATTTTATGTGCAGGTATAAACAAATTTTATCGAAATTTTATAATAATTGTTATCGAAGAATGCTCACGTTAATGTCGTTCATTAAGGCAATGTCCCAGACACAAGTTTTATCACTTATTCGCCACAATTTTATTTTGCCACGCATGTCGGCTGTGGCTACATATTTGTCGTTGTAATTGAAATCGGAGAATATAACGCTATCATTATGGCTGTCATTGGTACTAAGAATACCCTCGCCCGTATTGACGTTCCAGAGGTATCCTTTATCATCCTCGCCCCCTGTCGCCACTAAGTCACCATTCTTACTTAACGAGCAACAAAACACTGTGTGATCTGAAATCAATTTAAAGAGAGAGTAAGTGAGTGCTTTCCAGCAAGAGACACAGACGATATAATATAGCTCAGTTAATCATTACATTCTTGTTGTCTGCCAATGCTAAACTATGAATGCTTTCTATTTGAACAGAAGTCCATACAAGTATCCTTTTATTTTGCTTTCCTTTTAGGAGATATAGTTTTAAGAGGTATAGTCACACATGACACAAGTGTTTATCTTTGTTATTCATTAAATACTAAGAAGGATAGAACAATGTTTATATCAATTGTATTTTAAAAGAAAAGTAGCTAAACTCGACTTGTGTCACTAAGGATATATTCCATTTAACACTGGTAATGCTCATGAAATCATTTCATTCTTATTTATCAAATAAGGACAAATAATGCTTGCGAGTGCCAAGTAGAACATACCTGAAGATGAAATGATCACTGTATTACATTAGTTGCATTTGGGGAGTGTGCTATCAGAGCTATTGTGTCATTCTATCTTTATCATTTATTAGACATAAAACAAAGATATAATGATGCAATAGTGTTAATTTACTGTCTCTCTTGCTAGAAAGCACATTAGTGACATGAGTCAATAAAAACCTTGTTCTATCTTTCTTAGCATTCTATGAATAATAAAAGGTACTTTTCACTTGATGACAAGTCAACACAATTAGGATCTAATTATTAGATCTAATTATTAGGATCTAATTTAATTCGCGAGATTACTACAGTGGTTTAATTGCGTTTAGTCCGGAAATATTTCGGCGCGCAGTTTGTTAGACTACAAGTGTGATATACATGTAAAGTACATATATATCATATTTAGTGATTCAAGATTGAATTATTTAAGCATTTAAGATCTAGCTTCGACCGATATAGGGTTCTAATTTATCGATTGAATTTATCTATGCTTTATTTATGTTCTTTAACGTTTAGTTTTCCTTTACGTTCTATGTTCCAATTTTCGCTTCTTACAGGTTTTGTTTACGTTTCCGTTACTCCCCTTTTACACTACCTTTACACTCCAATATAACGCTTTATTGACACTCGCTATTATATCAAAACCCAGATAATTCTCAATTATGACGTCGTAACTCAGTTGAATGCATGTTCCTTTAAACTCTGACAAGTAAGATTTAACTGACGGTTTATTTATAATCTGCACAAGTTCAAGACTATGTGCTTTACTGAGTCTTGTTAGCTCATATTAAAAGTGAGGTTATAAATCTGTGGTGTTATACAATAACTTGGTCGCCAAAGTAAGCAAGACATTATCTGAGTATGAAATACATAACTTTAAATTCAGTATCACTTGTGTGAAAAGCAATTAATGTTTGTGTTGATTTCTGCCACTAAATGGAAAGCATCCAAAGATAGAATGATACTTGTGTAGACTTGTGTCACCAAATATAAGGCATCTAATGTCTCGCATGTTAATTGGTCTTGTATGGAGATCAAAAGCTTTCTTACGAGACTTGTGACCACGAAAAACGCGTATGGCATCGTCCACGTTATCCTCCTGTATAAGATCCTCCGTCTGTGGATTCTCATTTTCATCCGACGAGCTTTCAAAAATAGGATCATTCAAATCAATGACTTCCTCAATATCATCCTCTACAATCATCTCGTTATCCACGAGATCTTCCACTTTAGATGGAGACTGCGGAGCACATCTATCTTGCATCTATTGGAAAAATCATAATTAATCAGCTGTTTAAATCAATTAGCAAAACTAGTACTGACCATCACGAAATAAATGCGAGCGAATGAATAAAAATATCTTTGCTCTTCCTGAAGCACGTTAAAATATTGGAGCACGTGTTCACAGCACGTGGACCTCAAACAACACTAATAACTTGTAACAGCGACTAGAACAGTCAGCAGAATAGAACTGAATCTAAATGGAACTTCTCTTCTTCTTCTTCTTCTTAATTATTGACTCCTGCCTTCAACTGAATGGAACCGAATGGAACTCTTCTCAATTCTTCTAGAAATGTTCTGAAGTGTTCTAAAGTGTAGGTACAGTTCGTGCAATTAATGCCTTCCACCCTTGTTTTGACATTGCGCGTTACCTTTTCGGTTATTTTCACGTTCATGATCGTAATCAGACGGAATTATCGACAATACGCGAGTTTCTCCAATCTCTATTGGTTAGTCTCACGGAGTAATAAGAAGGAAATCAAGCTCCAAGCGGTCGGCCATGAAAAAGATGGGCTCGAAACACGGTGTCGGAAAAGCGCTGTATAGAAGAACTGATCCGAGCGCGCCTGTCGGAAAAAACTGTGAACTAGGGTATTTTTCAACAAGTCGTATTTCGTATGCGGGCAAAAACGTGTTATGCGAGGTCTACAATAGAAGTCGTAGCAGTCGTAAGGTCTTAAGTCGTAGAAAATTGACCAATCACAGTCGAATATGAGAAGAATAATCAACTGTGATTGGTCAATTTTCTACGACTTAAGACCCTACGACCGCTACGATTTCTATTGTAGACCCCGCATAAAGCTGGTTCTACATTAGTCGCATCGCAACGTCGCAAGCGTTGCAGTCCAATCAACGTCAAGCTAGCTCGATTCTGATTGGACCATAACGCTTGCGACACGCTTGCGACGCTGCGATGCGATCAATGTAGAATCAGCTTTAGATTCCAATTTCTTGTTGGTTTTGATTTGGTATGTATTCAATAAATAAATATTAAAATTCGTGTATAGAAATCATATGTATTTATGTATAAAAATAATATTAAACTTAAGGAGAAACTGCTGTTTAATCTACTAGACTAATGAAATTCGATTTTGTTCTTTCTTATTAGAGAGTAATATTTTATTAATATTTTTTAGATATATTTGTCCGAATATGCCTAACTGCATAGTTGTTTATTGTAAATGTGGAAGCAGTGGAAAAAGTTTATTTGCACCACGAACGGTAAGAGGAAATAAATAAATAAATATATATATAAATGTTCAATTCTCTTTATTAAAAATACCTCCGTGATTAAAAATAAATAAAATTTCCACATCGAAACACATCGAAATGTAGGTTAGCAAAATTACTCCGTGGTTAGTTTGGTTTGTCCGACTACGGCCATGAACGTGAAAATAACTGAGAAGATAAACGCGATGTCTCAGTGGACGTGATGTCAACTGGGAAGTAAAATCACTAGATAATAAAGTACCGCGATGGGAAAATTGAAGTGATGTATCTTTGGAGCCAAAATGGTGTCGAGTGCAGATATTGCATTTAGGGTAATGTATTTATATATCAAGTGCAATCCAAAGTGCAATCCTAACCTGGCTGCATTCATACATAAGTTTGAAATAACCGCGTCATAGAGCCAAAATGGCGGCAATTCGCGGTACTTTGTTAATCTAGTGACTTTACTAGGGAAGGCATTAATTGCGCGAACTGTATAACGGACAAAATAATACGGAAGTTTTGCGTTATCCTGAAAGTTTGCTGCGCGCTAACGCCCTCTCAATAAATTTGGCGGTTAAAATTCAATTTAGAAAATCTAGATTAAACAGGGAGTAGAATTTTATCTAATTTTACTGTAATAAATTCTCGTTATAATTCTAATTTTTTCCTTGTTATAAAGATTATTTGTAATGTGTTTTAATTTTAAGTAATACGTCAAATGCAAATAATTACAAATATTTCTATAATACAAGAGTGAAATAGAAGAATGTATGTGCTATTCAACTTTTATTCAACAACTATATTAAGCTTATTTTAAAGGAAAACGATGCAACATCATGTAACAAGCTTTCTGTACATATTTGAACTTTATGTTAATATCTATATATTATTTATATATATATATCTAGCACATTCACACACTATACATAATGCTACTATAAAGATCTGTGATAATGTCATATATATAAATGATTGAACATACGTACATACACACAAAATAAAACAAGACACAAAAAAAATTTTACTTTCAAATTTCTCCAAAGTAAAGAAGGTCGGATTAAATAGATTCTTTTTTAGTTAAGGTAGTACACTCGTGAAATGAAAGTATTCAGAATTTCTTGAAATTGAAACTATATATTGTGCTAGAAGACTTTGACACGCTTGTGCAATTACAATGGGATTGATCATTTCAATACTGAGATATAAATAATTAAAAATTGCACTTTTTATAGCCTATACAAAATTCATGAAAATGTCGCATTTATTTTTGTAGGGTCTAAACTAACAGTGATATGTTAATAAAAAACGAGCATGCGATGGAGGAACATGAAACGGATATTGTGAAAAAAATTTATAATTTTTTAATTATAAATTTTTTTAATTATAAAAATTATAATTTTTTAATGCAATTTTCGATTTTGTTTGGCCCACATAGCTAGCCCACGGTCTCGATCTTATGCAGATAGGCAAAAATTCAATTAAATCTCACTTGTTAGAAAATAAAAGGAATACCCCACACACCGTGAAATATTTCATGCAAGGTTTGAAATACTTAGAAATATTTCATAAAATCTTTCTAAAATATAAATATATTCATGAATCATAGTTTTTGATATATTTCCTGAAATGTTTATGATTCTACAATATTTCTAAAATATTTTTGTGAAATATTTCAATGGAATATTCTAAAACGTTTTACAAATGTTAACGAAATATTTTTTAAATATTTTATTGAAATATTTCCAAAAATGATTCATAAAAATATTTCAAAATATTTCATGCTGTGTGGGAGGCGACTGGAGGGAGTGAACAGCCAATCGGCATCTGGCAACATCTGCGTCTATCTGTATTCATTTTCTTTCCGGGTGTATTGCAGCCTTGGACATCACAGTAAAAAATTCTCTCTCACTGGCAGGAATGGAGGTATTTTCAGTGAACGCGCGATGAGACCAAACTTTTGGCTGATATTATCGCTTTGGTATTGACTGATAGTGTACTACCTTAAAAGGCTATATGGTAATGTAACTTTGGTAATAGAGATATTAAAAAATAGTTCTGAATTTTTCCACACTTGTTTAAAAGCCTAGAACAGTAAAAAAAATTGGATTGAATAAAAAAGAACCAGATTACAGACGAAGGCAGTAAAAATATGATTTTCCGACGGAGGATTAATTAGAATCTGAATTCGATAAAGATAACGCGCTTGTTGTGTTTTCTACACAGTAGAAGTTCATCTAATTAAAACTCGCTCAATTACAAACTGTAGTTTCTTATTAAATGCCTAAGTTTCACTTCATTATTCCGCCTTCAAGGATTTCTTTTCTTTTCTTTTGATAGGATTCTTTTTGCAGTCACTATAAATATTATTGAGATCGAACGCAGCCTTTACATTGTCCTGAAAAATTAAAACAAATAAATAAGATAGAATTACATAAGTTAGAAGTTTAACAAATTAGATGTGAATGACGACATACCAGAGAGAAAAGAAACTTGACAAGTTTCCCTTTATGATCCGCGTATGGACGTCGCTCTACTTCCTTGCCATCTTTAAAGAGTATTAGCGTCGGTAGTTGCTTGCTTGTGCTGGCGTCGCTGACATGATACTTTGCCGCGGCATCTGGATGTCTTCCAACATCCACTTTACCGAATTTGAAGTTCTCCAATGCGTATCTAAATCACAATTATTTTCAATGTTAATAAACATACCGAGTATTTTCTCATGAAGAGAAAGAGAGATTAGATTATATATAATCACATTCAGCAGAATGTTTATTTTGTATCTGCTGGAAATTTTCTTGGTATAGAGAACTGTAGATCTAAACGTATATTTAAAAAGTATATATATTTAAAAATTTTTTTTATATAGATTAATATTATTCTGTTTGTTATTATCCTGATTGTTTAATTGAAGAATAAGATAGTAATATTTTGAAATTAATCATACTTAATATTATATAAGGAGGAATAATCGAACAAATAATTAAAATTATGAATATAAATATGTAATTAAATTAAATGTTAATAAAATATAAATATAATATGTAATTAGAAATTAAAAGTAATCCGATCAGCGCAAAGAAAACGTGCAAAATAAACACATTCTGCGGACCATGGCATATATTTAATTAAATCGCTTACTCTGCAGAGAGCTCAGAAAATATCGGTGCAAAGGTTACACAAGCTGGGTTCCACGCAGTGTAAAATGCTACTACCCAGACCACTCTGGTGTCACGTTGTAATTCCTCCTGCAATCCGTTGGCTCCACGTAAATAAATGACGTTTTCAGGCCCTTGATACATCGGTTCTGGCAACACTAATGCGAATACTGCACACAAAGTGCTATTAGATGGCTTGCAATACAATGGTCTGTAATTCACGATAGTGAAGTGTTGGCTAACTGTTGTGCTGTTTATGGGAAACAATTAAAATTAATTCTATTGTATCCATGTGCTCAGTTACATATATTAAACTTTCCATAAACGATACAAGTTAGCCGACAATTTGTCTATTGTGGTCTTGCCCATAGTCTTTCCTTACGTATAAAAATAAATGCATATAAAATGCCCATCCGTACATCCGCGTAGAACCACAGGATTAAGTTTGCTCCTTTCGTATACATGAAACTAGATGTCAAATAATTTATCATCGTTACGCTGCCAGTCTTTCTTGTCCTTATCATAACAACTGTTATGAGGAAAAAGAGAATCTGTGTCTCCCTCTAAAAACATAAGTACTAGTTAATGAAATAATCGAATATTAATTCTCATCTACAACTATGAAAACCTAAGTTCTAGAATGTCCTGTTTAAAGTATAAAACGCAAGTAAATCTCTGTCTTGTGGCGATTGACAAAGGAAGGTTCAAAGTTTTTTTTACCTACAATTTGGAATCTCATAATATCAATCATATAGATTGTACAATCAACCAAAAATATTCGCTTTAAGCTCATTGTTATAATCAAAAGTTAAAACCAGGATTGTGTAATGCATAAAATATAATAATCTACATCTATGTGTATACAGGGTGTTTAAAAAAGATGATATAAAACTTTAGGAATATGTAGTACTCTTGAAAACAAACCAAAGTTTTAATAAGCAGTATTTCAAAAATCATTTATTTCTGAGTTATAAAGCATTTTCTACTGTAATGTATAATCCCTTTATTTCGAATATATAAACGTATTCACATACAATCGCTCGTATACAATCCTTATTGAAAAAAAATCATATCACAAAGTTACATAACAAAATCATGTAATTAAAATATATAAATCAGATAATGAATTGTTCCAAATCATTACGTGAATTTGATTTGGAACAATCCATTATGTGATTTACTTATTTTAATTACATGATTTCGTTATGTAACTTTGTGAAGTGATTTTTTTCAGTAGGGTTATCCTTCACGAACTTCTAAGGTTGAAAGTAATGAATATCGTTGGTATTTGATATTTATAAACATATGCTTAACATCGATTGAATGTCACCCTGTATAATATAAAATTAAACTATTTTATGTACCATTTATATAAACAATCCATGGATCATCAAAACCCATATTCTTTATCATTGCACTGAGCTTTTGTTTCACATTTTTTATATCGTTACTAAAGTCAGATAAATCATCAATCATAAAATTTAATTACTTCTTCTGTATTATCTGATTTATAATTTACATATTTTACATTGCTTATATATTGTCATATAAAAAAGATTTGTGTAACACAACGTAAACATTACAAAAAAATTTCGTGTAAACATGGGAGTTGATTGTGTATCTCGAAATGAGGTGAAAATAAAAAATGAGCAAATTTACTAGAATAGTAATTAAATTTCATTTAATTAAACTTCATAATTTAATTGGTCAATAACTAGTGAATTTGCTCACTTTTGTAATTCTCACCTCATTTCAAGATACACAATCGACTCCATGATCTCGAAATGTACGGCATAACCTTGGTTAAAATCATATCGCCTACAAATTAGCATCACTTACCCCATCGAATTCGCAGCCGTCTTGAGCAAATATATAATTACAAGCTACAGGAAGGCGTTTGGCGATGATGTAGGAAACACTGAGGAGGATATTTATCAAATAGTATGGCTTCACGAGCAACTTTAGATCCTTTTTGAACGACATTTCGCACAGTCGAAAGAGATAATTTGTCCAATTAGTAGATTATACCCGAGGTGCTTGGTACACGCTCGAGGTATTCTGACTAATTAACGTTAAACGACGATTATTGTACGATCTGTCTTGACAGATCTCTCGTCTTCCTCCTTGACAATTCCTACAGATGATCACTATCTCGCACACATGGTGTCTGGACGTCTGGTGAGCGAGGTGTCGTCATTGAAATTCATTCATATTAAGTGGAAGATGTGGCTTTGCAATGAAAATTAAAAACGAGACCACTACAGACACGCCTAATTTCTGTGTATTATTCTGCGGCGTGCGATGTGTCAAGTGTCAAGTTCTACTCATGGCAATACACAGAACATGGGTTCTTTTATAGAGGGCCGTTTACAATGGAGATAATAAGCGGAGCAAGTCGTAAATGTCGTAAGTCATAAGAAATTGACCAATCATAGGGCGCATTCAGCAAACTCAGCAGTTGAGTGACCGCTCGCTGCCATTGATGTATTCTTCTAGATCTGAAATTCTGATTGGATGAGCTAAAAGAATACACCAATAACAAGTGAAAAAGCAATTTTTATTCTGTGAAACCATTACGAAGAAATTCGACAGGAACAAAAACATCAAAAACGCTAGTTTTTTCGGTAATACAGGCGGCTCCAGCATCCCCTTAAAGATAGCCAGTTCTAAATAAAGTTTTGTGGTTATCAGGTGGACCCTGGACCTAGAATTGTATTATTTGCATTATTGTCTGGAATAACAAATTCAAGATAATAGTAGAATATTGATATTATTGAAATTGCATTAATAAAATTTTCTCTACTGTTGATAATAGTAGAATATCGACATTATCGATATTGTTGGTGCACACTTTTTGGACTGTTGGTACAATATTAAAGAATATGTAATTATATTAAATTTAAGCATTATTGATGCATGATTATTTATCATACACACATTTCATAAATAAGCATATTTAGCAGGAAATCTATATCCTGTTGTAAAACTGCATTAATCTTTTTCCATATAGTTATCGCTTATCAGTTGTACATATGAAAAAAAATCGGTAATTATTCAGAATACCTCCCTCACCTCCGATTTCGATGAAATTAGGCTTATTCGACGCGTTTTTGCACAAAACGAAAGAATCTGGCAGAAAAAAGTGTCGCTCTGCCTCGCGAACCGAGATATTTAGCGTTAAAGTTGACGACTCTGCAGGTTAGGAAATCTGTCATACCGACTATGGCTGCATTCGGAAACGTCGCTCGGATGCCTCCGATGCCTCGAATTCATCATCTGTCCTTCTTTAACATTAAATGTTAAACGAGGACAGATGAATCCGAGGCATCGGAGGCATCCGAGCGACGTTTCCGAACGCAGCCTATGTGTAGTGCT